GAGGAAGAGTTACTGGTGATACCTGCTGAATTGGTATAGACTTTGGTGTATTTGAACTATTTAAATGTATAATTTTTTTTTTATTAATGTGGAGGAGATGGATTGTTTATAAATAGAGTTTGTGGAGTTAGAGATATTAATATTTGTTTACCTATATTTGAATATTAGCCTGGGACTTGGTTTGGGAAGTCCGGGGGGGGTGGGATATAATATAATATTGTGTAATACTTATGATGTTTTTTTTGTTTTTTTGGAAAATAATAAAAATTTTATATTGAAAAAAAAAATACACATTGTGGCTTATGAGCACAACTAGTTTTTAGAGCAATATTTTGCAGGGCTTGACTGCCGTGCTTTTCATTAATACCGCATTACGCACAATGAAATCTCAGTTTAACTTGAAACTTGAGACAAATAGTTTTTTGACATATGTAAGATGTAATTAATCAGAACTTATACATTTTAAGTTACTATACAGAATAATAAATTAGAATATTTTTCCTTAGAGACTTTCATGTTTCCTTGATAGAACAAAAACTGGCAGTTTCGTGATTCAGTGTAGAAATAAATGGGTTTTGAAACCACTCCCAGAAGCCTACTACAACTAATACTTCAGCCTCATAATTCTGTACTGTCCTTCTGGCAAATAAAAGAGCAAAACTGACATACTTTCTGCAATAACGTCCCGAACCTGCAGCTTAAAGCTTTGTGATTAGAGCTTTCTCTCTTTTTTGGGAGATAAATCAATCTCACAAGAGATAAATAAAATCAAACATTTTTTTTAAAAAAAACACTCCAAGGTAGAATATATGAAAGCTAATTTACAAAAATGCAATATTCTTTGCAAACCAAAAAAAATGATACAGGTCTGCTGAAATTTGAGAGGTAGGATACAATCTCTGCTTCCAAATTAGATTTCATCTTAAAAAATAAAGAAAAAAATAAATCTTATGGAAAACAGCCTGAAATTACCCAAAATGTTCTACAAGTACAAACAGTAATAGAGAATAAGGTTTCTAACCAAATACAGCAAAATAAATAAATGGCCTGATAAAGATTCCCTTCTAAAAACATTTTTTTATTTCTTAATCCTTGAGATTCAGTGGCAGATAAACTTTGATAATGGGCAATAAGAAACATGGATAGAAATCCATGGTTCAGTTTCAATTTCTAGAAGGCAAATAATATCTTTGCAGAGCTAATTTATAGTTTGCAAGTCATATACTATACTTTATACATAATTTGGGGGGAAGGGAGGGAACATTATTAAGTTGAAATTAATCAGAAGTATATTCTGTCTGAAAGAAAAAAAAATTCTTAGAAAATATTTGATCTTACATTTTAATGCTGAATTTAGTTGTAGTTAAATATTTTTTTTCTTTCCCTTCTGTCTCTCAACTTTATTAATAGTTTTCATTTTGAAGTTATGGTGCTTATTGTTACATCAAAAGTAAATTATCTTCAAGAGCAATTACCTTTACAGATATTTTCATCTACCAAAAATAAAAAAATATTTTAATTACATCTTACTATCCTGTTATTCACATTGGGTCTAAATTAAAATAAGCTCTTTCACATGAATGCTCACATTATTTCATTAGCTGTGCCATTCTTTGTTAGTGCAGATCTCTGACTCTCTAGTCAAGCAAAAGTAAGATATTTTGTCCTAAAACAGACATCACATTTAAAAACATAGAAAAACATAGAAAACTGAGAGCAAAAAAACACCCAGTGGGTCATCAAGTCTGCTCTTTGAGGTTTTTTTATTTTTGTTTTCTTTTTAATGTATTTATTTTTAATATATATATAATATATAATAATAAAGTTGGAAGGGACCTTGGAGGTCATCGAGTCCAACCCCCTGCTCAGGCAGGAAACCCTACACCATTTCGGTCAAATGGCTGTCCAGTCTCTTCTTGAAAACTTCCAGTTTTGGAGCATTCACCGCTTCTGGAGGCAGGTTGTTCCACTGGTTAATTGTTCTAACTGTCAGGAAGTTTCTCCTTAGTTCTAGGTTGCTTCTCTCCTTGATTAGTTTCCATCCGTTGCTTCTCGTCCTGCCTTCAGGCGCTTTGGAGAATAGGTTGACCCCCTCTTCTTTGTGGCAGCCCCTGATATTTTTTAATTTTTGTCAGATGAGAGACATGCATTTGTCCCAAGCATATTTAAACTCAGTTACTGAGGATTGACACACTATCTCCGCTGGAAGTTGGATCCAAGCTTCTACTGCTGTTTTTGTGAAGTAATACTTTCTAACTACTTTTGAACTTCCCTCCTGTCCATTTCATGTTATGCCCCCATGTTCTTGATTTATGCTTAATACTGAAAATCCTGCCTTCTAGAACCTTATTCACACCCTTAATATATTTAAAGGTTTTAGTCATGTCCCCCCTTTCCATTCGGTTTAATAATATAATAATATAATAATAATAGTAAAGTTGGAAGGGACCTTGGAGGTCATCTATTCTAGTCCAACCCCCTGCTCAGGCAGGTAACCCTATACCATTTCGGACAAATGGTTGTCCAGTTTCTTCTTAAAAACCTCAAGTGTTGGAGCATTCACCGCTTCTGGAAGCAGGTTGTTCCACTGGTTAATTGTTCTAACTGTCAGGAAGTTTCTCCTTAGTTCTAGGTTGCTTCTCTCCTTGATCAGTTTCCACCCGTTGCTTCTTGTCCTGCCTTCAGGCACCTTGGAAAATAGCTTGACACCCTCTTCTTTGTGGCAGCCCCTGAGATATTGGAATACTGTTTAGTATGGTTACCCGGTATGGTTAGGAAATGTTGCTGCAATTTTACATGTACTTAAAACTCCTGTAACTGCCTGTTGCTACTTTATGAAATGCATACATGCGCACCCACGGAGTTATCCTTTGCTTTTATTAATAAAAATATTTATTTCACCTAGAAATTATTCTCGGGGGCTATGGAGTGGTGACTGCTCCATGAAATATCCTATTGACACAGCAATAACCATTCAGTAATCTGTGATAACGGCAACAGCTGAACAGTAGGACTTACATTTGTACGTGAGGGGGTTGGAAACGTCCCTGGTTAATGTTGTAGAAGGTGAAGGCCTGTGTTGGATTGGAACTGTACTCATCTACTTCAATTATGAGTCGACTGTGTTGATGCCTTCTAGCCGTCATAATGTGTGATTGGGCAAATGCCATCCTTGCTCTCTGGAGCAATCCTCCTCTTTCACAGAATCATCTTTCCATATTGGCTGAAAACATCTCCCGGTCTCTCTCTCTAGCTTATCATATAATGTATAACTTCCCCTCCTGGATTCTGAAAATGTAAAATCAGATTGAAAACAATGATACTGATGCAAGTGTTTGATCATTCATCCGTTTGGGATGCATCTTATTTATTTACTGTCACAAATTTATGAGAGGAAGACAAATGTTAACAGCTGAAGTATCTCATTACAAATATCTCCAGTTCAGCAAGTTGATGAATATTATTTAGATGCAAGAAAGAAAAGAAACTTGTCAAAGAAGACATGCTAAAACAGGTTTCAACCGTTAGGAGGCTTAATCACAAATCTATTGAATAGAGCATTACTCCTTAGAAAATGTATGTCACCTTTCAATGTTTTGCAAACACAGTACCAGTCATGTATTAGTAAATGTTTACATTATTGTTCCAACATAGTCTGTATGACTATGTATATGAAAGGTTTGTAAGTAAGTGTTCCAAAAATCTATATTATATCATTTTTCTGTATTTAAATGATCATGATAAATCCATGAATTATCTGAAATGGCTAGAGCCATTAAAAATGTTAGTCAAATTCAGATAATAAGGTACCACAAGTGCACTTTCCTTTCATGATTTCCCCTAGAAATTAATAAATTGAATATATTATTCAACATAATATTTCAATCACCCAATGTCACTTAAACGATGCACATCCATATTTCATTTTGTTGAAATGATGCTGATTTTTGTAAATGTTTCTATAGCCCACCAATCAGTTCACCATTTTTTCAGCTCTCTAAAAATAAACCAATTGCATATTCTCCAGCGATCTTTATCTCTCAGGCAACCCATCCATTTGTGTACTTCATAGCTTCTTTTGTTACTTATTTATCAAACTTTAATCCCTGAGAGATTTTCAATGAAATAGTGCAAATTCTATGAAGAGATAGGATGATTATATCTCATTGATTTTTAAAAATTCCTCCATAATTAAAACATTTTGAATGTTTTAATCTGATTTTTAACTATATTTCCACATTTGCCAGAATTTTTATACAGATTGAGATTCAAAGTGAGGGGACACTCAGCTCTTCAGTTATTTATAGCAACTTGCATTTGGGGTGCAAGCTTTTCAGTGGAAAAAGCTACTTTTCATATTACAGTACTTTCTAGCTTTACAGTAACTCATTTCTAGGGCAAACCAAATTGTGTGTACTTAGAAGTACTCTATTTAATGAGACTTACTTGTATGGGAATGCAGATCAACCAATCTAATTTTGTGCATTTTTCAAATGCTGAGAACTTACATTGTTTAAACCTCGGGGTCTTTTTGCAGTCCATGTTCACCTTGATGAAACTGCAGCTTCTGAAAGACACCAAACAATGGGGGGGATTGTTTATTTATTAGCAACAAATAATTTATTAACAGGTAGGATACATTTACATTTCTCCTAAATAGAAGCAGCTTGGCACAGGAAAATCACATTTAATTTTCTCAGTTTGTCTGTTCTGAAATAAGAGAAGACTGAAGCCAGTATATATATATATTCATTGTTCAATTAGATTTTAAAAGATAAGGGTAACATTTCATTTGAGTCAAGCTTGGCAGGATAGGAATGGTTGAGATTGATGGTGGGAGTGATGGAAGGATGGGTTTCTATCCTCCCATCCCCCCACCATCCAGTCACAACTGATGAAGCTTTTTGGATGAGAAGAAAACATCTTTTTCTTCTTCCTCAAAAACCAAACCAGTTGCCTTCTGAGGAAAACAAAGCACCTTTGAGACAATACTAAGTGATGGTCCTCTGGCTGTTTTCATCTTTTATCCTTACTGTGAATTGGGATGTGTGTGTGTGTGAGACAATATCCTTTTATATGCTACATTTTTAATTATGAGAAAGTTGACTCTTTCTCAAGTTTACAAGCCGCTGACCCTCACTTGCTCTATCATTTTTCCTCAGAAGAAAAAAATATTCCTCTTATTGCAAGCAAGCGTGCATCTTGATTGCTAGATAGAAAACAACTGCAACTTAAAAGCCAATCAAAAGAAAGCTCCAAAGGATGTATTGCATTGCTATGAATAATCCTTTTAGATTACCCTTTCTGTATTTCTTCAGGGTCATACAAACCAGCAGTGGAGAACAGTTTGGCTTTGTTAGAATAGGGGTCCCCAACCCCGGGCTGTGGACCGGTATTGGTCTGCCGCCTGTTAAGAACTGGTCCACGCTAAGCAGATAAGGAGGGAGACCCAGGCGATACAGAATTGAATAACTGGAGGTTGTATAAATATTTATAGAAATATATACTGAGAAAGTTAGATAAATAGAAGTATTAATGTAAGAGAAAATTAATCTTATTGTATATAATACAGATAGGGAAATTTGGAGAGAGGAATCGCTCGGACATTACCCCTGAATTGTATCTGAAGAGGGAAGAAAGGAGAGGAGAGAGAAAAGAGTAAAGGAGGGGGGAAGGAAGTAGGAAGGTTGGAGGAGAAGAGGAGAAGTGGGGAGAAAGGGGAGGAGAGTGGTGAAGGAAAGAGGAAAGGAGAGGAAGAAGAGGGAAGTAGGGAAGAAAGAGAAGGGAGAAAGAAGGTAGAGGAGGAGGAGTATGGATACAGTGAAAGGGAAAATGGGCGAACAACACCAAAAGTCATGTGTATGTATTGATTTCATTTTATTAAAAGTATCTTATCTATAAGAATGTAAAAAGAATGTATGTTAACATCTGATAAATATCATGGTATATGTATGGGGGAGAGTTTGGAAAAATAAAAAATAAAAATAAAAAAAAAAGAACTGGTCCACGCTAGTGAGCAAAGCATTATCGTACATATGTGGGATCTAGGTAGCATGTGAAACCAGCACCACCACCACCCCGGTCCATGCAAAAATTGTCTTCTATGAAACCGGTCTCTGGTGCCCAGAAGGTTGGTGACCGCTGTGTCAGAATATAGTTTTCATGTATTTTGTGCAACAACTACAGCTAACCAGTAGATGGCAGTGTTTATATGTTTGCATTTATGGTTTCCTGTCTCCTTCTAGCAGTTTAGCAGAAATGTCCATGTGGACTGTGCACTTTGTTTGTTCTGTAGGGCTATATACAGAATTTCTAACAAGCTTAACAGCTGAACTGCTTCTATGCAAACATCTTTGGCTCCAGCACCTGGTCAACTTTGGGTGATCTTAAAAAAAGCTAAGGAGGATAAGACCTGATTTATGGTAAGGTAAGAGAGATCATCGGGCAAGGGTGTCTGCAGGCTGGAAGACAAAAAATTCAAGACAGTGAGCCATGTGATCAAAGTTCTACCTCTTTTTTTACATGATGTACTGGAAGTACAAGTCTTCCTGGATTTTTTTTTTTTAAATCCTGAAAGTCCAGCCATTTCTGTTTTCTTGCAAAATTTTACCACTTGCATACTGCCCCATTTCTAGAAATTCTGATTTTTCTGAAATTACAGTATTACTACCAAAAAATTAAAAACAAACCAATTAGTGCATCTATAACCAACCAAAGCAATATAGGTATATCCCCATATACCTCCGCTATAGAGCAGTGGTGGCGAACTATGGCACAGGTGCCAGAGATGGCACTCGGAGCCCTCTCTGTGGGCACACGTGCCTTGCCCCAGCCTTGCCTCCCCACGCGACCCCCTCCTCTCCAGCAGCCCCCCTGAAGGAGAGTCGCCCCTAAGCGTGGCCCACACGGAGCAGCACAGCCAAGGACATGGCAGCCAGGCAGCATAGACAAGACTCTGCCCTCACACCCCATCATGCAGTTGATGCTGCAGGGTGCGGGCAGAGGGTGTGGCCGCCATAGCGCTGCCTGGGCGATCTGCGGCAGGCCCTGGAGGAGGTGAGTGGTCCTGTGGACAGGCGGGATGGGATGGGGGGGCAGAGCAGGGGCGGGGAAGGGGGTGGAGTGGGGACGGGGCCAGTTTTTGGGCACTCGGTCTCTAAAAGGTTCACCATCGCTGCTAAGCAGAGAACAATGAGCTTTAGCAACCTGTTATGATAAAGAAAAACTAGATAATAATTACTCCTCAAACCAAAGTAATATTTTTTTCAAAAGTCGATCCAATACCATAATTTGGCAAATATCAGTTTAATAGAACAAGGCAGGTTTTTTTAAATGCCTTTCCCTTTCTCCTGATATTGGAGGGAGAAAACGTACAGTCCAAACAGATGGACTGAAGTGTTACTGAGTTCCTTTTATTCATTGGGAAGCTATTATATACCAGCAGCCATTACAATCTTTACAGCAGAAATAATCTCCCAGATGTTATTTGGCCCCAAGTATGCTCCTATAACAAGTTAAACCCAATAGAAATCACTAACCAAAATTTTAAAGAGTTGTTTCAGTCTGCAGGAATTGAATCTGGAATGGATCCCTTTGCAGTAAAGTCCTGTATTGGTTGACTTAATTATTGCCTCAGATCTGGGGATTCTAGTCATGTTGATTTGAGCTCAATATAGAAGATCCAGTTCCAGAAGGACATAAACCAATGTGGTTTTTGCACACAATTTTTGCTACTCCTAGGGCTAAATAGGGCTATTATGGAAATAGAAACTCATGTTCCAGATTGTCAGAGATTTGAATTTTTTATCCCAGCCAAGATCCAGTTGGTCTTATATGTTTAAGCCACCTTTTCTCTCTCCTGCTTTAATATGCCACCTGGCAGTATCAAAACCAAACCAAATATTTATTACAGCATTGAGTAGTTCAAAATAAAAGATAACCAGCAAACAAAATATTGGAATAAACATGGTGGCAAGACCCCTAACAAGCCTCTGATTCTTAAACAGTCATGTTGAACCTGACTAGTTACAGTACAAAAACTGGGCATGTGAAGAATAACAGCAGGAACTATATCTGCCAGTTAAAAAGAAAATACAAAACACATCACATCTATATCTCAGCTATAAATTTAAAAATGGAGCAATCTGAGTGATACCAATATCCTTAGCCAATTTCAATCACCCTTGAGCCAAAAGGGCTGATTTGGTCTCAGTTAGTTTGTTGGTTTGTTTATCCAATTAATTTATTATTGCAATCTACCAGGTGGTTAGCAATTAAAAAAATCCAATAAGGGAATAAAACATCCATAGCAAGAAAAATAAAGCAAATTAAAACACTCACAATAAAAGTAACAAAATAATAAGCAGAGCAGTAAAAACAAGATAGCATAATCTCAGCTGTTCCCAAAGGTCTCATTGGAAACTCTGCCTTAAATAACTCCTAAAATGATGAAAAGGGGCAGCTATTCCATAAAGCGAGCACCAAGCCTGAAAAGCTGGACTAGAGCGGGTTGTATTCACCTTTGATCTAGATCAGTCCCTGGAGATCACTAGAAAAGGCATAATAGTTGTATCCCAACTTAAGAGTGCCAACTTATTATAATGATTTTAGTTGAAGTTATTTGTTAAAGCACGATGTTCTTCATTCCATAATTATTTTGAATTCTTTTTTCAATAATCTGATTTTTCTGTATAATTCTATATAATTATTAATAATTAATAAATGGTTATCGAATCTGCCTGCATTTTACCTTCATAATAGAATTTTTCAACGTCCTCGTTAAATTTTCAATCACAGCAAATTTCCATATTTTTAAATACCATTGGTCCCACTAAATATGGACTTGGTTTTCCAGCATTTTTCAATAATAAATCAAAGAAGCTAACAAAAATACTGAATTCACCTCTTATACTGCGTTAATGTATCTACAAACAACAATTTCTTTACATTTCTATCAATGGACGCTAGAAATATTGAAATGTACATACCGTAGTATAAGAGTTGTTTTTATATGTGTATGTGTAATGCTATCTTTATAATTAATTCATGAAACCTTTCATTCTCTTTAATCTGAACTACAGCAGTGGAATGAATATATGGTAAAGGGGTTTTTTTTTCTAAGTCCTTGTCTTTTATACCCAGACATACAGAACACATACATTTATGCATGGAACTAATGGACTGTATCAATAATAGTGTGCTACGTTTTTAACACTTAACATTTTAAAAATTATCCCAACTAGCCAGAAATATCTCAGATTGCCATGCTTGATACGCAAAAGAGTCAATGCATGGATGTTCTCAGAATTTCCATATTAAAGACTACAAAACATGAGCATATAAAATTAGGTAGATTTTTTCCTGTGGCCCAAACCTTCATGAGTTATGACCAAAAAAAAGAACTTTTCATGGTATAATCTTTCACAGATTCATCTAGCAAATCTCTCACCCCAGAATATGTATATGGGAGGAGTTTAAGTTTCAGAATAATTGAATGCTATGAGTTCCTTTTTCACATGGAACTCCCAACTACAGGAAGAAAGAATAAATGGTCTAATGGTATTCCTT